TTTTCCCCTCAAGATTTTGTATTTTTAACAAACTCCCAGGTGATACAGATTCTATTGGTCCATGGACTCCACATGGAGCAACAGGATTGTTGGTTATCTAGTTTTAATGGAGTGTCACAGGTCTTAAACAAACAAAAAACAAGGCAATTCTAATCTACATCTTCAGACTCTTTAAGCTCCCAAAGGTTAGCAGCAGCAGCAACAGTAGCAACAAACCAATAGCTTAAATAGTATATATGTTTTGAGTGCTTTCTAGGTGCCAGTTATGTGCCAAATACTTTGCATGGATTATTTTATTTAATCACCACAACCCTGTGAAACGAGTTGAGGGAGGTGAAGCAACTCACCAAAAGGAAAATGCATTAGGTTAAACTATAACTGTTTATAGTTATATGACATCATGTCATAGTCATCTCACCAACGATGAAATTCAGCAACTTAGAGAAAACCTTAAATAAGAACTTTGTGTTAAATTTAGAAATAAAAGTTATAGAAAAAGAAAGCATTTTGGAAGCTTTGGATGAATAGTTTTAAAAGTGAGTATAGCCCAGAAAGTGTGGAAACTGCTCAGAACTTATTAGCATCCTGGTGTACAAGTGTGCTGAGGAGCAGGTGTAGTTAGTCCTTGGTAACAAGCCTGGCTTGCTAGATTGAAAAAGTCAAAGGAGCAAAAGTAGGGAAAACGAAACATTTTTGAAAGTGGAAATAGCTCAGAAGAAGAAAACTGGGAACCTGCAAGGTTAGAAGAAAACTCAAAAGATGTCGCTCAAAGACTCCAATAAGTACCTTGCCAGGGACTAGAACCAAATAAATGTACATAATACTGCGACTAGTATGGACTGCAAAAATTGTTTGGGCATTCTATTTTACAAATGGAGAAACGTATTTCTAAAAAGAGGAAGGGGATTGACCTAGGACATATAGGAGTTAGAAGCAAAGCCAGGTATAGAAACTAGGTGTCCTGCACTTCATCCATGCATCAAAAGAAGGGAAGAACTGAGCCAGGGAAGCCAGCCAGTAGGACCACTTGTTGGTTATGTTACAGAAGGTCTGTTCAGGGACAAAAGGGACAAGAGAGTCAGAACATTCTCTGAGCTTTGTTTTTCATTCCCAAATTGCCTTTGGAGGAAGATTTGGAATTCAAAATGAGATGATGGTAAATTAACATAGTGTTCCAAGCCTGGTTGACTAAATAGATGTTGATGAATCACCAGCACCAGGTGGCATCTACTCAGATTTCAAGTAAAATTGTTTAATAGCTGACCAAAGTGTATAGCCTGTCATTCCAAATAGGTGATGTGTCATAAGCCTGGAAAATTGCCAACAAATCTTCTCTCCAAGAGAAAAATTTCAAAGGGGAACCAAGGAATCCAGGCTGGTAAGATCACTGAACTTGTTAGGCAAGTGTAACCTATTGGGAGTAAAACATTATTTTTTCTGTGAATTAAATTAACCATTTGTGTCATGTTTTACAGTTTACAAAACACTTAAGTTTAATCAAGCCTAACTAATTGACTAGAATTCCTTGAGAGAATAAATGTGCATGTGGACAAAGGAAAACCAATACATGTAATCTATTTAGATTTTGAAAAGGCCCTTGACAAGGTCCTACACCAAACAATGTTTTAAAAATTAAGTCACCCATGGAATTGTGGCTTGGTGTTTTGAAATTGATAGAGAAGTATCTTATAGATAGGAAAGCAGGGACTTTTCCTGGAAAAGTATGAATGGTATTGTGTCCTAGGTATCAATGCTGGGACCAATTAATATTTTGGTGAATCATCTGAACAACCTTTAGAAAATGAAAATATTTTATGGGTAGCAAAATGCAAAGATTTAAGTCTTGTATGATTGTATCGATGATCAGAAGAAGAATTAGAGTAGAATTGTTCAAAGAGCTCACTGACTGGCTCTGAATCCTGGCTCTACCCTTAAAGACTGCATGACCTTAAGCTATTATCTCACATCTTTAACTGCTTCCTAGTAATTGGGGATAAATTTTATACTCTACTTATTCTGGTATAAAATTTTAAAATTTCTCATCTGTAAAGTGGGAATAATAATAACCCCTAGTTCATGAAGGTGTAAAAATGATATGAGATAATGCATATAAAGTTCTGGCACAGTGCGTAGAGCACTGTGGTAAATGTCCAATAAATATTACTCCTATTATCACTTATGTTTATTCAATATTATTCTTATAAGATGACAGGCTCTGAGTCATGTTATGCCCTAGGAATGGAACTTGGGAGCCATTGCAGTCTATTTTTTGAAAGCACTGGCAGAATTTATTTTAGTGATTCAAAGGATGAAGATGACTATAGACTGGGATAGGAGAAAAAGATTTCATACAAGAAAAGTAATAATTAAGGACCACCTAGTATGTGCTAAATACTGGGCTAGATGCTTTACAAAGTTTACTTCTTTAATCTTGCAATAGTCCTATGATCCACATTTGATGGATGAGGAAATGGAGACTTAGAGAGGAGGCTAAGGACACTTGTCCTAAGTCCTGCTAGCTCATAAGAAATAGGCCAGAAATAAAAACAAGTTAGCTCTACTGCTAAACCTATTTTTTTCACTGAATCATACTTGAAATGCACTTTGAGGTATGGGTATAATTTGTGAAGGAATAAAAAAGGGGTAGTCATATAGATATACAAATGGACAATGGAATGAAGACAGAAGCAAAAACAGTATGTTTACAGGGCTCATGGGGCATGAGTATGGTTGTTTCTGCCAACATAGATGGCTCTTGTGGGCAAGATTTGGGAAATGAAGCCAAAAGCATAGTTTAGGCTAGACTAGTATACCCTCAGAACTCTGCTAAGGAGTTTGAGCCTTGTCCTCTAGGCAACTGAGATAAGATGAAGACAGCTGAGCTAGGAGAGGTAGGAAATGCTTTAGAAAGATTATCTGACAGTTGTATAAGAAGAATTCGGTGGAATCTTCTGTCTGGTTCTGTGATTATTTGTTCTCTAATATGCTAGTGTAAGGCTCTCAATACTCTTGCCTTAGCTTAGAAAACTGGAGAACACTTAAAATGTGATTGAAATAGAATATACAGGAGGGTAGAATAGAAGGGAAGCAGTGACAGAAACAGAAAAAAATTACCAATAATATACAGGGGTTAGGGGCCCAATTGTATATGAAGGGCAAAGTAGAAGAAAGAGTCAAAGATGACAGTTTTAAGTCTCAGTGACCAGAAGAATGGTAGTGATATTTTAAAAATAAATATATTAAGAGAGTAGCCAGTTTTGGACCATCTGTTGATAAATTTGATTTGTGACACATTGAATTGGGGATAAAGGTGGGAAAGCTAGGTAGAAATTACTAGGAAGCAGTTAAAGATGTGAGATAATAGCTCAGTGGAGCAGTTAAGATGGGAGGTTAATGAATTTGAGTTGTCTCCCTACTGATATAATAGTTAAATAATGTTCATTGAAGCATTACCCACAAGAGCCAGAGGTGAAAACAACTTCAATGTCCATCAGTGGATCAGTGGATGAAAAAATTATGGTACATGCATATAATGGAACATCATTCAAACTTAAAAAAGGAAATCTTATCATACACTGTATCATGGATGAATAGTAAGGACATGCTTAGTGAAATAAGCCAGTCACAGAAGGGCATATATCACAGAAGCCCACTCTTTTTTTTTTTTTTTTTCTGAGTCCACTTTGATGAGATACTCAGAGTAGACAAATTCATAGAAGCAAAAAGTAAAATGGTGATGCCAGAGATTGAAGGAGGTGAGAAAAGGGAAGTTACTATTCAATAACCTTAGAATTTCAGTAATACAAAATGAAACAACTAGAGATCTATTGTATAATCCTATATAATAAAAATATAGTATGCAAATTGTCCCTTCGACCAGAGTTCTTCTGGGAGTTTGACCAGGGGGCAGGGATGAGGCTAGCCAGGGGAAGAGAGGGAGTACCTGCCGGCAGCCAGCAGCCACTAGGGACCCTACCAGTGCATGAATTTCATACACTGAGCCTTTAGTTTAGATATAATTACAATATTATACTGTACACTTAAAAATTACTTTGGAGGACAAATTTCATGTTATATACTTCTTTTAATTTGCCAAAAAAGTGAAATAATTAAAAGAACCAAAATGAATGAGATCTGTCTTTTTTTCTGGAGAAGAGAGAAAAGACGGAGGCTTAAGTAGAGACCTCTGGATAATACCAGTTTTAGAGTAGGATTAGGAAAAACTAGTGCAGGAAAGATGCTAAAGGAGGAAGAGGAGAAGGATATTAGAGGCAATGGGTGGTAGGATTTCAAGGAGAAGTCTGTGCACTGAAGAGGGAAGAGCCAAATTATATTTCCAGTTATTCCACTTAGATAAACCTCATTTCTTCTTTGAGTCCCACTTTTCTTATCTGTAAAATGGAAACAAGCACACCTATCCATATAAGAGTACCCTGTAAACCGGGAAAATGAATACAAACATGAGGGCTTTTTTTGTTTTTGTTGCTGTTGTTTTGCCTTCTTGACCCCAGCAGCTTCATTTAATTTTTTTCCATCACTGTCATTTTTATGAAGCTTTGAAGTTAAGTGTTATAGCCAACCTATGTTAGATTACTAGTAAGAAAACAAAACAAATATGGTGTTCTCAGAAGAGAGGGTCAAGTGATGTCTCTTCTTTAAGAAAGTTATCCCATCATTTGTTTTCCATAGACTCCCGATATTGCGTTTGTTTTATAATGGGAAAGAACCAAGGAAATGTCCAATGGGAAATAGTCAATTGATTATGTCAGTTCATTTTAGATCATAGAAAACATTAAGTTACCATTTTAATCTACCTAGGTCAGAGATTTAAAAAAGATTACCTGAAAACTTCATTTTCTAGAATATTGTCTTTCCTTGAAGAGTTAATGGCATTGTGTTACAGGGATTTTAGGGGAGTTACAGAGGGCAGATTCAATTGTTTTTTTAATTCCCAAGCATCACCATTTTAGCTCAGATTGGAGATGGCCTTAATCAATTACCAGCAAGGAAGCGGAGTTGATTCTTCATTTTCATCATTCCATCGCCAGAGGCTCCAATGCACTCATCTTCATCATCACCGCAGTCTCCACTTTCAAGCCCTTCTTCATCAAGGTTCTTTTCCACAACTCTACCTTTGGGCATAGACATGGTTCTCAGGAGCTGAAAGAAAACAGAGAAATGTAGCAGCTCTTCATATTTCTTTGGTAGGTCTAAAACTGTGTTATTAACAGAATGCATTCAATATGCTGAATGAGTTACACAGAAGCTTTTAAAAATCAATTTCAAATTGAAATAAATGTAAACTGCTTATATGCTTTGGAGTTTCATACTTTCTATGGCATTTCTTATGATTCTCTACTCATCAACTTCTCTAACACCAGAGTGTATTTTGCATCAAAACTTTCAATACCATGGTATTTAAGTTTCTGAAAGCCTCCATGGTAGGAGAACTAACCAATGAGGAAATTAACACAACATAGGCAAAGCATATTTATATGTTCAGAGGATACCAAAAACAGAAAAGATGCCTATGAAAGCCCCCTTAAAACTATACTTACAATTACTAAGTTAAAACAACAAATGCTTTCCATCAAAAGAAGAAGATAGTATTGAATTTTATATACACTTTGAATAAATACTTACAATTAATTGCCATGTACCATGCCTTGGTCACTAGAAAAACTTTTAAAATATATCCTTCTTGCATCATTTCAGTAAGATGCTTTGAAATTCATTTTGCTTTTTTTGTAGATAAAATATGCCCATTTGAAGGGATGTCTGTTTTGCTCTTCAGTGTCTGGCTTTTCAGACACATTGTCAATGTCTTTCTTATGTTACTGTGACTCCCACTTCCCAAAAGTCTTTCTGCTGACCCCGAAGCCAAACTCACAGCCTGAGTGGTTTCTGAGGGCAGTTCTCAGACTCCATTTTATTCTTCCTCATCATTTCTCTCTAAGGCTGTATTCCAATAGCCTCCATTTCTGTCCTAGCTTCTGCCACACACCCCTTTTTAGTCCTACATTTCAGTTTCACTTCCTATTTATATTTAAAAATTTTATTAACTTCAGAGATGGAGAGGGAGAGAGAAATCGTAACATCAATTATCAGAGAGAATCATCGATCTGCTGCCTGCTGGATGCCACATACTGGGGATTGAGGCCTCAATTTAGGCATGTGCCCTGACAGCAATCAAACCATGACATTCTGGTTCATGGGTCTATGCTCAATCACCCAGCAACACTGGCTGGGCATTACCTCCTATTTTTAAATAACAGCCAACAAAAAGTGTTAGATGTACTGAAACTAAGATTTTTTTCATTGAGGAAGAGGTATCCAGAAAAAAATATTGCATATACAGGAATGTCTTGTTTTTTCTGATCTTATTGATAATTATCTATGTTGATTGATGCTGAAAAAACAAAAAAAAACTTTATGTTCTCTGCTTGTGATTTAACTGCTATACCAGTATCAATCTGGAACAAGATACATACTAGAGAAATTTGACTCTGCAGGTTTATTACTTTTTTTAAGCGAAGAAAGAAAAAGTCCAAATAGTTCTTTTCTGCCCAACAACCTCTAATGGTGTCAGAGAAGCCAACCCACCCACCATCTGCTACTCCAGCATCATCTCCACCCTTCTGTTCTAATGTATCCCTTCTCTAACCCTCCCCCATCCTCTACCATTCATTCTACAAATCTAAATGTATACTATAGACACATAGGCTAGGATAAGATAGACTAGTGGTTCTCAAACTTTTTGGTGTAGTCAGGACCCCTTTATACTCTTATTGGGAATCCAAGAGAACTTTTGTTTATATAAGTTACTAGAAGCCTGGTGCACAAAATTCATGCACTGTGTGTGTGTGGGGGGGAGTCCCTCAGCCCACCCTCTCCAATCCGGGACCCCTTGGGCCTAAACTGGCGGTTGGACATTCCTCTCACAACTGCTCACCTGCCTGCCTGATTGCCCTTAACTGCTTCTGCCTGCCAGCCTGATAATCCCCTAACTACTCTCCTGCCAGCATGATTGTCACCTAACTGCTCCCCTGCCCCCAACTGCCCTCCCCTGCTGGCCTGGTTGCCCCTAACTGCCCTCTCTTGCAGGTCTAGTCTCACCTAACTGCCCTCCCACCCCTGCAGGCCTGGCCGCCCCTAACTGCACTCCCTTGCTGGCCTGATCACTTACAACTGCCCTCACCTGCTGGCCATCTTGTGGCGGCCATCTTGTGACCACATGGGGATGGCCATCTTGTGTGAGGGTGTGAGGGTCAATTTGTATATTATCCCTTTATTATATAGGGCAACTATTGGCATTTACTATCTTAGAAATTATAACTGAGAAATTTAAAAATTTTTACCTTGTGAATCCTTGGGTTTCATGGATTACCAAAGTCTATAAACCATTCTTTGAGTACCACTAAATTAGACTACAATATCACTTCAGTTGACCAAAACATCCTAATCTCCTCCTTTACCATCATTTCTTATGAGAAAAATGCTTTTGACATAAACATTTTTAGGCTAATCTTTAAAAATACATCCTTTGTATATGTCTTGGATTACCTGAATTAGAACTGTTCACATAAGGGGATTTGTGGTTAGATATATATTAGTGAACTTACAATTTCTCAAGCACATCTCACACCTGTGCCTTTCATTAATCCCTTTAGCAAACATTAATTGAGCACTTAATCAGAGCTGTTTTCATTTTGGTCTATTGAAAACACTACATTCTTTCTAGCCAAATTCAAATGTCATTTCCTTAGTAAAGCCTTCCTGCCTACCACAGATGGTCATTATACTTCTCCCTTCCCCTCTTCCACCACTGCTCCCTTTATCTGTAACCTCCTAAATATCCCTTTATGTGTGCAACCTAGCATTATTTATACATGTAACTTTGCTCTACCACCAAATTGAGTTGCCGGGGGCTTTGTCTTATTTATCTTTTAACCCCATAGCATTTAAAGCAATGTCTTGAACACAGTAGGTACTCAACAAATGTGCTATTGAACTGAAGCAAAGTAAAGTGGCATGGTATCTTTAATTGTTTAAAAGCTTCTTCCACAAACTCATGAAAAATGAGAAAGCCAAAGCACAGATTAATTATACAAGAACTTGTGAATGAATAGCTAAATCCTTTTGGATGACCCTGGCTAAGATCTGTAGCTAATCTATAAAGGCTATTTTCCAACCTTGTGTACAATGCCCTCAGTATTCTCTGGTAGTCCAGTTTTGTTTTTTTTAAGGTCAATTAAAAAAACTTTAAAACTTTGCCATTGAGATAACTTTTTTAGTTCTTAAATTACTCTCATTTTGGAGACAACTTTAGCATTGAAGAAGGATTATAGTATACTTTCAATGTATTTTACACAGACATCTGCTGATGAACCTAACCCTCACACATTGACAAAACAAATCCCAAACTAGAAAGCTATTGTTAGTTTAAGTCTTAAAGAACACTCTGAAGCTCCAGAATGCTGAAAGGAGGATAATCTCTGAGAGATGAGAAATCGTCAGCAAGGACTGTGAATTTAATACAGCCTGGAATTTGAAACAGAAATCAAATCAGCTAATTACAATTCACAATATTGACCTTTTTGTTCCCTCTCTCACTCTTTACAATGTCTTCCAGACTGAACACTCACTTTATAAAAAGAAAGTTATGAGGGTCTTGCACACCAAATCAGGTAACTTTAGGGGCCTAGTGCTTTTGATTAACTGTTTGCCATTTTCAAAGGACACTATCCTATTAGCTTTTTAAAAGCCAAGGCTCAGAATAATTATTATCAATGTAAACTATCTTATTAAAACACAGGTCTGATTATTTCACAACCCTACCCCCACAACCCTTGTATAAACTGTCATTTCTGCTACACATTGTTCAGCACTCCTTATGGGAAGGACTTTCATGGTCCAGCTTTTTCTGTATGTACTCCTCTCCTTGCAACACTGTTTGAGCCACATGAGAATATTACAGTTGCTTAAATATGCCATAAATTTTTATTTTATATTATAATTCAATATGTTAATTATATGTATCAATATAATATAAAAAGGTGAAAAAAAAGAGACATAAGGGAAAAACCTAGTTCTTAAACTTTAATAAACATTTATATTTTCAAAAGTTGGTGAATTTTTGTGTGGGTTTTTTCTTTTTTTGAATTTGAACTTTAAAATAAAACTGACCGAGTTTGGAATTCTGGGTTTTCCACTTATTAACCTTCCCCCCACTTATTAACTTTGCTGTTTAATTTCCCTAAACCTCAATGTTCTCATCTGTAAAATGAGGGAAATAATGCCTGCCTCAGAATTATTGTAATGAAGAAATGTGATAATTTTAAAATTTTAAATCTGATAAAAACACTTAGTGCAGTACAATTAATGAATCTACTGAAATTTATTTAACCATTCTCTGAATATTTAATATTTATATTGTTCCTAGTTCTTTTGTTTCTATAAATAAAAATGGAGTATCAGGAGCATTCACATGACTTTTTCTATATTTTGGATTATTTCCTTAGTTTCCCATTAGTAGAATTATTGGACCAAAGGGTATGTACATTTTTATAGACCATGGGAGTGAGTCTCTAATTTCATAAGGATGATTTTTAAAAACTCAAGAACCTTGACCCACCCACAGAGGTTATGATTTAGTAGGTCTGCTGTGAAACACACAAATCTGCATTTTTAACTAATATACTCCTCCATCTTATCATGAGCAAATCACAGACCACACTAATAAGAAAGACTACTGCAGTGTTATTCCACTTCCCAGAAACCCTCTGAAACTATCTCTGGACAAGAGTCACCTTAGCCCCATGTGTGTCACGATACTTATTACAAACACTTCAAACCACTTTTCAAAAAATAAATGCAGCCTAATTATTTCCTTTTCGCTTACTGGTAAATATGAATATCATGTCTTTGGAGTTAATGAAGATTCTTGGGTGTACAGGTAATTGACTTTGATTAGAAAGGGAAATATTTGAAGTTAGTTTTGAGGCAGGTATTCATGGTTGTATAATAAAAGGAAACAAAAAGTCTGGAATAAACACAAAAATTAGAACTACAGTGTAAGAGGAAAAAAGGCTCTTTAGTTTTAGCAATTTCATGTTCTTAAAACCATAATAACTAAGATAACAAAAGAGCTCTGCTTCATG